CACAGTGTGTCAGGCTCACGAGAGTGGTTCCGCACGAAGCTTGGCTTCCCAATCCGAAGACACAGATGAAGACCTCATGTGGAAGGTACAGAGTGAAGTGGTGTCGAAAGAACAGCTCGATGAACATGCTTTCCCATGCAAAGTCTGGTCACCTTGAAGCCGGAAAAGTGCAGTTATTCGTAAGATGTAGAGGATGGCTACATTAATGTGTACAGGAAAACTGGAACGAAAGGAGTCACGTAAGCTATCATGCAAGACAGCAAACTCTGATGGCTATGGAACATAAAACGGAACCCACAACGTTATTCGCTGAGAAACAGCGAGAATGTGATGCAACCCCGGCTTCCATTTATTTCGGACAAAGTCAGCGTAGAGATCCAACAACGCTCAACTGGATTTGGCTCATTATGTTGCCTTGATAAACCTACCAAAAGACGATACCAAACGTCGCCTCATCCGCAATAGACTTTATGATCGGGCTGGGCCATGGACAACTGTGTACGTGTTCGTTTGGAGAAGATGGAGATTGCACACAGCGAGGAACACTGTACCAAGTTTAGAGTTCAGCCTGTGACGAAGTGTATGTATATTGGTGGGACGGCAAGATGTTAGGCATACCCTCCAAAGTGCATCTGGCAGATAAAAAGCGTGGGAGACTTCTTATCCCTTTTGGGAAACATCGACTAGAAGAACATCAGGGCAAAGGTTTTGATACTAAATGCAAAGTCCTAGCCTACGTGAGTGGGATGGACGCTGGAAAGGTATTGGAAGCGTAGCACATCTACAAGAGAAATCCCAAGCTAAAGCATGAGCAAGTGAAATGGATGCCATTCGTTCCTTTGTGTGGGCCTTCGGAGCACCGCGTTATTCTTATCCAACGGACGGAAATGATATCTCATTGGTCCCTTCTTGTTCACAAAATCGAGTGGAACGGCAATGCTGGTGGAACCGCAGAAGGTCAGTTTCTTGGTTGGAATCATTCGATGTTCAAGTTTCTGGGAGCTGTTGCAGCTGATCTAACGCGTTTGGGCGCTCCGTCGGTTAAGCCACATCAGGAGCACGGAACTGCTCTCAAATCTTTGGAGACGACAATGTTTTCGGAACGTCGACCAAATAAAGCGGCTTTTACTAAACAAACCTGTAGGACAAAGCAGGACGGAACGTAATGTATAATAATTAAAAGTCCCAATCCCCTTTGCATTTCGTATTCTGGTACTGAAATGTATCATTAGAGTATAGCAAACTGGCTGTTAAGATAGGTTTTCGACAATTTCCAAGAGATTGCCGTGTTTACATTAGATTTTCGTGTACATTTTACTGCCAAACCAGTTTGGCTGCTGACAAAAGTTGGAAAAGGGTCCACTCAGGGCACCATGCAATAATGTCTACGCGCCGTCCCCTCCTAGATCACTAGGGTGTGAGCCATACATGATATTTACCACGAAAAAGGCTGCTCGACTTTACCTAGCAGCACGCACCGGCCGTAGCTTCTATTAGTGGTATATTGGGATCATGCTTACTTCAATGGTCAACAATGAACAAAATATGAAAAAATCTGTTCTTGCTAACTCACCACTTCCTACATTCTTCACTCCATGCTCAGACAATTAATAAAAAAATTGTGCAACTTTTCATAGTAAAATGGCTGAGCTATTAAAGTCGGCTGTAAAACGTGTTGCATACTGAGGACCTATCAACACTGGTCATATTCACTTTTTGCTGGTTGCCAGGCTGCCGCAAAGGGTACAATTCACTATGTTGAAATATAGATCCGTCCTAATCACATCCGCTTACCTTTCTTTCGGGTCACTGATCACTCTCCCGCTCCTTCAAATTTAATTGTCTTTCTTATCAGGCGGTCCAGTGGTCTTCATAGCACGTGCCCGCATCGTGTAGTCCCTGCTTTTCCATCTTCAGCTGATGAGGGGCAATCCACTGGCTGCCGTAAAGCATCGTGGGCCTCTCTTCTGTCAACTGCACTTTTACTTAGAGCGTTTCATCTAACATGGCTACAGAGAATGGCGCTGGACCTTATTCTCTTCGTCTGCCGCGTTTGTTGAGCCTCCACAGCCTGGTTCATACTGCCATCAGCACCTTGGTCACTCAGGAATCGCAAGACTTGGACAATTTCGATGGCTTCCCGAAGACGGTCTGCGATTGATTGCACTCTTCGGCGCTTAAGAACTTGGGCTTTTTCACATTTACTCTTCGCCCATTCTGGACTTCTTTCGAGCTCTCCGATATCAGAGTGATGTTATTATTTTGTGATGACGCCCATAGTGTGTAAAAAAAGAACTAGTTCAAGGCTGACCCTTGGTATACCCTAACAGTAATGCCTATTGCATTTGTTAGGCCGTAATTAGTGTAAATAGTTGTTTTTCACCAATCTCACATCCCCTTGGCCACGGAGATCAGGTATTTCGGAGCATTTCGTTTTCGAAGCTTTCCTGCCATATTTACGTCTAATAAATTCGAGCTGAGTCTGGGAGGAAGTGATATTGGGTGTAAATTTGCTGAACCTGAAAATCACATCCGATGAGTTTAGACGTGCATGCCTTCGTTGTCAAAACATATATCACCGAATCCGATGGAATTCAGGGGTGAGGAAAGAAGTAAGTAGGAAGTTAATTTATTTGGGTGAAAGAACTAATAAAGTTATTTTCTTATGAGCAGATATACCGTGTACTCGTGTGCCGAAGTTCCGAATAGCCCTATGACCCCTTATGGAATGAGGGCACCATGACAAACTGATACTGGCTATAAAAGCAGAGCTTCTTACAACTCACTATCATTGCAGCTTCTGGACATTGGTACACACCAGTGTTTTTGTCCTCTTTCCCTTCCTAAGCTCCTTTTGAAGTGGCTTCGGGCGGTTTATTTGCTTCTAGTTGTGGCGCAGTCAGCGGAGTGTATGAATAAATAAATAAATAAGTAAATTGATAAACGAATAAATAAATATGGTGTGGTAAGTGGTACTTTCTATTCAAAGAAGGGTAAAACCGCCTTCATAAATGCCAAGGTCGTTATAGAGTTGCTTTGCCTGGCTAAAAAACTTTGTGGCTTTCTTGAAGTAGACCCAATAAATCAGAGCGTTATAAAGGAGAATGGTTAGCCCTAGTTTGCTGTAAAGGAATAAATCAGTTGTCTTCCATGGCAGTGTTTGACTTCTGTTGCCCTATTAGTACAAGCAGCCTCAGCTGTGTCATCGGTCAGTTTCCTTTGACTTTTAACACCCTTTCAGGGACTATCCAAATCTCTTTCAAAGCACCCGAATATTGTAACATGAATTCGATGCGTATCTCGTGAACTAACGAACAATTCTATCGCTTTTTATGAAGAGTCACAGAAGATTAATATGCGAGAGAGCCTGGTACGAGCCATATTTTCACTCTCAAGCAAAGAAGATACGGTTAAATGAAATATCCTGAATCGAGATCTAGGTCTCAAATTCAC